CTAATTAGCTACATTAAGTGACTTAATTGAAGGCATGGCAATTATATGGCATGTTATTTTTTCATATGCTAACAATGGTCAATGGACATATCTCAGAGATATATTTTTACAGACAGTCATACCTTTTACAAAAGTCCGTTGACATGTTATTACATGTAACTGCTAAGTTAATAAATATGCACAGACAACAATCCACACTGGGTTGCTATAGGAATATCTTCAGATAATTTTTCATAATCATTCATTCGTATACAATTGTATGTTCCAAATAGTGGATTCATTCGTTTCAATGGGTAAAATAATTCGACCAAAACACATTGTTATTTGTGATCAAACTTTCATCTTAATACCTTGAAGAATATTTTCGATAAACAGCCAGACGTAAAAGATTACTTCGATAAACGGCCAGACATAACATTTGCACGAGGCATGTTCAAGTTACAAATAGTAATAGTCCATGGGCATGGTGGTGTTCGTGAGTCTCAACCAGGGTGTTCGGCAAGTCAAATCGCGATCTGGAGTATGCTATTTTTTAAAATTTCTGTGACGTCAAAAAAGTCATAAATCTGATCATCCGTACAAACATTCGTACATGCAAATATAATTGAGTTGTCGTTCGGCTATACATAACTCGGCCAACCGGAAACGGACTGGTGCGAGAAAAATACATCGTCAAGAATAGGTGGCTGCCTTCGGCAGCAATTATTGTTATTTATATTATAATTCAACATATAATGGCCCTATGACTGGTGCTAATATGCCTACAAAGTATTTTTTAAAGCGCTTAGTTTTGAGAAATTATAATTTGATAATGAAAATTTACTAGTGGACCATAGATTCATCACTAATCTATTTTACACAGTGAACGTTGGCACTTGTTGAAGTTATTTTGACTAAAAATTATCGCATGTTAATAAATACTCTAGTATAAAATAATACTGTAATTTATAGTTTATTCCCTTGGAGCATGCAAAGTGCCTACATGTGGAATAATTTGCTTTAGATCCACAGATCTCATATAGATTAGAACTCCCATAAATTCTTTTACACATCCTAGTACATTTTACCATTCTAAAAGTGCATTTCCCCATCCCCTTTCAGACAGCAGAAATTTCATTTGTATTGCAAGTATATTGTGCACTGAATGGTGAATCAGTAAAACTAAAAGATTGCCAACCAGTTTAGAGATGAGTTTTGTTCAAATGTAACTTATGTAAGTTGTTTCTCTCTCAATTAGAAATAAATCTACTGTTAATAAATTAATTGGATAGATTTAGTGTAACATATAGATTTAGGTTTCCAGTTTGTGAAATGAAATGCAAATCAATTGTATTATATTTTAGATATTCATGCTTCTCAAACTTCAATATATATGGATAAAACAAGGACTGTCAAGAAGACTGCAACTGTATATATACAACTTAATGCGGATGGGAATGCTGTTAGTCTTCACATCTAGGAATGTTGCTAATACGAGATTATTAAGAAAACCGCAAAGTCAACAACTATCCTAGATTCATAATATTAGGGAGCTGGCTCAACTATACTTAATATTCTGGTAATACTCAAGAAAGTGACATGGCAATTCAACAATGCATATACAACAGAACGAGATATTTCCATACCAAGACAATTCTTACTGAATTAGTATTTAGCTGATATTAAGTTAAATAACAAAGTTACTTGGTTCAAAATCTGGACTTTGTTTTTCCTTCTCTGTACTGTGCAAGATAAAGAAAAGAGGTGGTAATATGCATCCTCACAGGTGGCTGATAGGAACTCTCACTCATATGGAAAATGAATTACTTGAATTGGGTCGTTCCAGAAAAGATCCATACTCCCCCCATGGAGGAAATTTCTGACGTCCAGAGGGGGAGGGGACAAAAAAGTGTTTCTGATAATAGTAAATGTATTAGGACATCCGAAGGGGGTTAACTTCCTATTTCTTCTGTGGGGGTGGTATGGATGTTTTCTGGAATGACCCATTCTCAGTCATTTCAAAAAGTAAGCCTTGGAGCTTTTTTGAAATCGATTTCATTCATGCTTCAACAACCGCTCTCCTGCATGTACAACGTTGCAAAATGTGCAGCCAGCCTGTAATGTCCAAACCACAGTTGTCCACAACATTTGTTCTCATTGAGCTGTCCATTGATGAAGAAGTGTAGTGTGGAGACAAACAATTTTGATTTGGCTGCATTTATTTGAACACTTGCTTTATTATGCCTCCCTCACTGATTCAATAGTTGCTAATGTAAATTTGTACTAGCTCTGCAGGACAGATGTGTTCAATTTTTCCTATATGGTATGGAATAAAGATCATGCTGTTAGTGTTACATGCATGCAAATGGTAATTCACAATGATGTAAAGGCTAATGAAATTCAATTATGGGTTGTCCATAACTACCAACATTTCCTGAAGTGTACAAACTATATGCTTCAGGTAGGCGGGTTCTTAACCAATATACGCTTTTTAAAATGTTTAACTATAAACCCACCATCATCGGTTAAGTCACTGTGGGAGGGGGTTGAAAAGTGTACTCTCTGTACACCTGTGATAATTATGGATGATTTACAGTGTAACACTAATGCTAGATTTAACTGAAAATAATTTTATAGTTCATGTTTCGCTCGCTACTCTGGTTTAAAGAGCTCCAAAGTAAGAGGTTTAAAGAAGGCTCTTTCACTGTTGAATGACAGAAATACGTATTCTATTCTCAAGTCTGATCCTACTGGAAAGACTCAAAGAGGTTTAAACGCCAAGTTACTTCTTTTGAAGAAATCCAATATTATCAGCAAGGCTACATATGAAAAGTTATACAGCAGTGATGGACTATCTCCGTGTTTCTATGGCTTACCGAAAATCCATAAACCGGAAATTCCATTGAGACCTATTGTGTCCTTTGTGAATTCTCCTACATATGGAGTTTCAAGTTTTTTGGCGGGGTCTCTGTAAAGAACGGAAACCGAAACGACCGAAACCGGAAACGACCGCAACCGGAAACGACCGAAACCGGAAATTCTCGCCTAAAAGTGAAAGCGCTATCAATTGCCTTGTTGAATTTGCTCAGATCAGTTGTTGCACATGGAGGAACATGGGAGCGCTAAAAATCCTGCTAAATTCTTCTAAACAATGGTAAAAGTAGTAAATTGGCCTTCGTTCTCCTTCATTGAAAGTTTTTTAGGTAAAATGAGCCTCGTTATACAACACCAAAAAGTCTAATGAAAGGCACATTTACACGAGCAAATTTTATTTGACAAATTTTATGTCAAAGATATTTTGCTCGTGTAGATGAAACTTGTGACAAATTTATTGTGACAAATGCATTTGAAGAGGGCCCTGGAGGGGTAAAATGGGAACTGGGATTGATCTATTTTTAGACTGGGAAAATGGGATTTGGGTTGCTGGGACTGGGATTTGCCCACTGGGAATGGGAAATGAAGTCCTCAAAAATGGGAATGGGATTGAGGTAATGCGAGTCGATTCCCAATTTTTCTACGTTTTAAGTACTTTAAAATACAATTTTGATCCGTTTTTGGTGTCTTTGGTTATGATTTTTGTTGTTAACTATATTAATCACAGTACTACCTGCGAACAGGCATACTCTGGCGCCCGGAATTCTGGGTTTTCTGATTATGCGTGTCTCAGAATGCTGCAAATGCCATTTCCGGGATTCAAATTTAAAAATTTTCCGTGCCTTCGGCACAAACCCGCCCCCCAATATTTCATAAAGTGTCCGCCACTTGCACACACGCGTACGGTGGCTTAAAAGGTCTTAAAACTGTTTATTCTACCCATAAATAAAGATTTTTTATTGACTGGGATTTCAATAACTCGGACTTCTAATAAAAACCCAACTGGGACTGGGATTTTTCCAAAATTTCAGGTGGGAAATGGGATTGGGACCTCCCCTTCAGGACCCTCTTTGAACAAATGCTAGCTTTTGATCAAATAATTAAATGCATTTGTCACAATATAAAATTGGCATGTTGTAAAAGACGGACTGGACTGGACCGGGAAAATGCGGACTGAGCTAGTCCGTGTTTTACCCGTGGTTTTACAAATCGTGGACCGAGTCCGCGCTTTTCTGGTCCAGTCCAGTCCGTGTTTTACAACATGCCAAGTCTAATACACGTATTAATCTAATACACGTATTATCGACACAAATGCAGTACGTGTTATTGGTATAGTTCAATAGATATCATATTGTTCTTTATATAAAACGTCAACACAAATATGTTACAAAATGAATAGTGAAGGATAATGTACCAATAAATTCGAAACTTAAACATCCCCTGGGCATTTGACTCCAAGCCTTCTCCAGGGAGTAGGAATTTGACGTTCTAAAGCCTGTTTTTCACTTCAATCGTTGCGAAACATCGCATATATCTTTATTTCAAAATCATTAGTTCTACCTCACGAGTGCTCACCAGCAAAGAAATACGGTACATTTCGTTATGATGTTGAAGTGGAAAACAGGCTTAAGTCTTCCATGCGGTGGGGTATTCGATAAGGGTGGGAAATTTTTGTGTAAATCTCGCTCCAAAAACCGTTCAAATTATAAACTATGGTCTATTCTCATTAGTTGTTGTACTTTCCCGTGTATTTTGTACTTTTTGATTTACTTTTTCAAAATTTTGTATGAAGGTGCGGGCCTTTGAACGCTGAATCTTTTGTTAATGAGTGGGGCAGTTGAAGGTATTTTTTGGGCAGGGGATGGGGAATTTGAACAGCAAAATTTTAAAAATTTCAAAATCCAGGAATCGGGCATGTTGAAGTTTCGAATTGATCGGTACATATAATAGTTGTTATATAAAGCATTAACTCAAATATATATTGATCGCTACATAATAGTTGTTATATATAAAACGTCAACTCAAATACTATCCTATACGAGTAGTGTTGAATCAATTGGAAATGTGATTCTTCTAACTGTGTCCTCAAGAGCCTGGGGCTAGATCTCTGAAAGAGAATGTCGGACGTTTGCAACAAACTGTAAATCTTAACCATAATAAGAGTAGTGTTGAATAAATTGGAAATGTGATTCTTCTAACTGTGGTCCTGAAGAGCCTGGAACTAGATCTCTGAAAGAGAATGTCGGATGTTTTGATCTCAGGCATGGTAATTGGAAATGGTAATATTTTGGCTTTGGTGTCATGCCCAAAACTATCTGCCTTGTTGTGGGATGCGGATAGTAATGGCATTCCTCGTGCATTATCACAAGAACATTAGGGGGTGGTTCCTTGTCAATGATTCCTCGGCAGCCATTGCATCGAGATATATTGCCATGAATTCGACAAACATAAAATGGTTTTCCATTTTGCCAGGGTTGGTTATTCTCAGGAGATAGGCACTCCATGTTTGGATGACAGCTAGGTGTTTGGGTGTTAGGTAATTGGTTGTAACGTAAATATGCTGTTGCTTGGCTGGTTTGCAGACTGTGACCAGGTGAAATATTGCTCGTTTGATTTGGTGGATACGTAAATGGTGGGTTGACAGGAATTGCGTTGAACATGTTGTCATTGATATTCATTAAAGGAACATAAGGACTTTGCTGTTTTTTACTGACACTAACCTAAAGATAAAATAATTGTAAAAAAATTGAATTTAAAATTTGGCCTCCAAGAGAGCAAAAAATTTTGAAGTTTTGCGCGAAGGCACTCAGAATTTAATTTATAAGGCCCTTCACTATTGAAACATGGTTATGTTTAACTCTCGTTACAGATAACATGAACCAACCACAACTACACACGTAAAAACGCACAAGTTGTAACAAGTCTGCAAACAAGTTGTTACAAGTCTGTTCACAAGCTGTCAACAAGTTGTGTTCGCACTGCTTATTCCCAGTTTGTTGTAACAAGTTTGAAACAAGCTGTTAACAACTTATAACAAGCTTGATTGCATTATCAGCCTTGTTACAAGGCTGTGCTAATAAGTTTGTTACGGCCATGACATAACAAGGATGTTACATTTACCAACCCCCCTCCCCATAAATAATGACCACTCCCTAACATATAAAGCTGCATATCAATAATAATATCATCATGGATCATACCACCATGTAAATGGGTATTGTGTGTCAATTAATTTGGAGGGGATCAAGCATCAATTAAAATGTTTATCTGCATGATAATTTGTGCCATCAAATTTCCAATGAACCTGGTAAGGAGCTGTATTACTATTATATTTCAAATGCATTGTAATATAAATTATGGTTGAGTGATGATTACTAGTGTTCAGATTTTTTGTTAGAAATTAAAAGTTATTTCAAATAGATTAAGAGTTAAGAATTATGATTATGGCAAAAGGACTATAAAGTTTGGAAAATATATTGGGGTTAAAGGTCTGAAGTTGCAGCTGCTTCTAGCATGTCTCAAAAATGTAAACAAATTGAGAACACTTATTGGCAGATCGCATTTATTCCGCACGGGGGGTTGAGGACAATGGAAAATCCAGGGGAGGGGTGTAAAAAATGCCTTGGAAAATTTGGGGCATTACCGTACCAGATCATAAATCACGAAAATTTGTATTGTAAAAAACTGTATTACCTTTCTGGGTTTGCATTTTCTTTATCCGAGTCAATCTTAAAAAAATCAGACAATTACAAGTTCAATTGACAAATTATACATCTAACATTATATCATTTGCATTGGCATTTGACAATGTAAAAACGTGCAACTCGTGGTGCAACAACGACACATTTTATTTGCTAAATTCTAGCTCCTTTTAAATTTATGCTTTCATAAAATTGTCCAGGGAAGTGTCAGTTTTTGTCAGTGACTATATAAAATTATAATTAAATATTTAATTTTATAAATACATGTAAAAGTAAAAGTGAAATATGAACCTCGATGGGGTCTAGTGATTCCACTTTGATAACAAAAGGCAATGCCAAAGACTTTGTAGTGGTCTCAACAATCTATTGATATAATTGAATAGAATTATTGACTAAAGTACTTAGATTTAATTTACAAACCAGTAAAGGAATGAAATTTACCTCAACATCGCTCCCATCTTCGTCCATTTTGCTATGATAGATCAAAGTAATCAAGGATCTAATCGAGCCAGCTTAGTGAATTGAGCGCGCTCAATTTTAAGATTTTAGGCAATTTTTTCCGGTTTCGGTCATTTCGGTTTCCGTTCTTTACAGAGACCCTTTTTGGCGAAAATTTTGTCCCCTGTGGTGGGAAATACCGAAAACACTGTAAAATATTCCTGTCATTTTGCAGAGTTTGTAAGAGGTAAAACTCTTAAAGCAGATCAAGTGTTGGTATCATTTGATGTCGTTTCCTTGTTTACAAACATCCCAGTTGATCTTGCCATCAAAGTTGCGGCAAAAAGACTAAGACAGGATGCCACTTTGTTACAAAGAACATCCTTGCCTGTAGAAGATATTATTGATCTTCTGTCTTTTTGTCTCAACGCCACATACTTTGTGTTTGAGGGCTGTTATTATCAACAGGTTTTTGGAACAGCAATGGGGTCACCAGTTTCGGCAGTAATTGCTAATTTAGTAATGGAAGATGTCGAACAAAGAGCTTTAGCCTCTGTTCGGGTGTCCCTATCGTTTTGGAAACGTTTCCTCGATGATGTCATCTCTGCGGTTTCTACAAATGAGATCGATATTCTGCTGCAACATTTAAATTCTATTGAGCCGTCCATCCAATTCACGGTAGAACGTGAGATAAATGGACATTTAGCTTTTTTAGATTTGAATGTACACAGAACTGTCGAAGGGAAGTTAGAGACTGATGTTTATCGCAAACCCACACACACACAGACAAATACTTGTCATACGACTCTCATCACCCAGTAAGCCATAAAAGATCCGTAGCAAAAACTTTGCTTCAAAGAGCTGAATCGTTGCCGTCAAACAGTGACTCTCAAGCTAATGAGCGTGAATATGTTCTAAATGTTTTAGGGGAAAACAATTACCCAAAGCGTTTTCTTAATGATTGCCTGAGACCACCTGTTTGTAGGAACCAAAATAACTCCGAGGGTGATACCTCTGTTAAGGGTTTTGCAATAGTTCCATACATTCAAGGTGTCACAGAACCAATCAAGAGAATCTTAAGTAATTGTAATATTAAGGTTGCCTTAAAACCCTATTTGACTTTAGGCCATAGTTTCGCAAAGCCAAAAGATCCTGTTGAAAAAAATCAGAAGACTCATGCTATATATTCTATACCATGCGGTGACTGCGACAAAGAGTATTTGGGTCAGTCTAAACGCCAGTTTGGTACACGGCTAAAAGAACATCAAAAGGCTGTTTCAACTTTAGACAAGGGAAAATCAGCTTTAGCCGAACATGTATGTTACACCAAACACGAGATTGCGTGGGAAAACTCTAAAGTAATTACCACAAACAATCGCTATGGTCAAAGACTTTGCCTAGAAGCGTGGCATATAAATATGAGTCATCATGCTTTGAATAGGGATGACGGCGCCTATTTGCCAGAAGAATATATGCATCTTCTTGGCAGGTTACGTCATCCTTGGGTATTTAAGCCTAGTTCTCATTCATCGCAAACTGTCACCGACGATCGGCGACGCTTATTGCCGATGCTCACCGATCGCGAATGTACGAAAGTTCTCATACATCGGTGAACGTCGCAGATGACAGCCGATGTGTTTCGAAATTTCCCACCAAGGCACAAAATGGCCCCGTTCAACGTAAAGATCATGATTTATGTCAAACTTCAGTTGATTATTTCCTTGCTTGTTGAGGAAAAAACAACTTTTACTCATTTTTCATAGATTTTTCAAGCAGGTGGCAGTCGGCGATGGTCGCAAGAAACAAATTTTTTTTTCCTGCGATGTCATCGCCGATGGTCGGCGACGATCATGGACAATCGGCGATATAATTTTTGATGTGTTCTCATAAATCGCAAGCGGTCGCCGACGTCGCAAAGCTCCCATCGCCGACGGTTTGCGATGAATGAGAACTAGGCTTTAAGAAGCCACGATCGCAGTTTTAGATCACCCCTGATGAAGACACTAGACTGGAGTGTCGAAACGTTGGGTCTTGATTACAATTCGACTGGGCTTTGTAATCATTTATTTAAACCAGAGTAGCGAGCGAAACATGAGTGATATACCTGGTTGCAGTGAACGAACAAACTTTATAAAAAGTACCTTACTTATATAAAACAACATCTAAAGAGTTTGAATTTTTGCACAAAAGTTATGCAACTGCCGTTGTTATGGCAACAATGCCGTTTCAAGATGGCGGATATTTTGGCTTTAAAGTACCGTAATTTAACTCGTAAACGACATCGGTGACCCCCAATTTTTTTTAAAAAAATTAATTCTCTTAGTATAATCAATCATTTTGACAGTTTAATAAAAATTCTGTGGAGCCAAAAAAAATTATTATGAATTAATAATCACCTTTACGTATTAAATTTAAAAAATTTCGGCTCCACAGAATTTTTTAAATTGTCAAAATAATTGATTATACTAAGAGAAATAATTTTTTAAAATAAAATTTGGGGGTCACCAATGTTTTTTACGAGTTAAAATACTTTAATGCCAAAATATCCGCCATCTTGAAACGTCTTGTCGCTATAGTATTATTGCACTTTTTAGATGTTGTTTTATATAAGTAAGGTACTTTTTGTTTATCAACAAGAAATAATTGTCCAAAAATACGCATCTAAATCGTGAATTTTCCATTTTTTAAAAACTGTATTGAGCCACCTTAAGAAATAAAAGATTCATTCAGAAAAATAACCATTTCTACATAAAATACTACTAATACTTCTGTGTTAAGCGAAATTTATATGCTACAGGCCTTAAAATATATTTTACAGGGCCGTCTGACAAAATGTCCGATGACTGTGAGTTTGGGTCGGACATACGCGTGATGATGTCCGATGACCTCCATTTTAATTTGGCTCGGGAATAAGTCTGAATGACACGAATTAATATCAGCACAATGTATTAATTCCAAACGGTAAATGTTGTGAAAATATTAAATAATTTGCCACGTTCACATTTATTTCCAAGCCAAAATTAACTTGCTTGCATGCCTATAACAGCAGTAAGACATTTTTCACTTCACCATTTTGCTCGCCACCCAGCGCTCAATTACATTAAAACAACATTTCCAGTTCACCTTTTATATATTACCCTTTTATATATTATCCTGGACTATGGTACATTTTGATTTACGTTGGACAAAGCTACAGTTCGGTCGGACACAAATACACCTCGGGTCGGACATTACAGTAAACCTCAGTTTCACTTAGGTCGGACAGAATGTCCGGTGGTTTCCTCACTACGTCGGACAATTTTACGAATGGGTCGGACAATGTCCGTGACCGACCGATATTTTAAGGCCTGTGCTAGCTCGGTTATCCGGATTGATTGTACATGCATGGACGATTTCAGCTAGCTCGGCTGACCGGGCGCCCGTTTCAGCGGGCTTGCGATATAAACAGCCCCCGAGAGAACGAATCATAACGCGGTTTAATAATGGTGACGTCAATGTTTTCATATCTTTGGAAATGGGAAAAGATGTCAATTTCATATAATTTTTATTTTATTGTGTTTTCTTTCCTCATGGCAACAAAACAACTCCATCCTCCAACGAAACCCGTTAAGCGAGAAACAATTGCAAACGACGTGGAAAATCCAGACAACTTTTGCAGATTACATTGTTTGTGCATGCTTGTATTTGTATTTATACTGATAAACACTCCTATACTCGTGTTTTGAATAGCTTAAAAGGGGGCAGAGGGCAACTGCCCCCCCCCCTGCCCCCCTGTCTCGTACGCCTATGATATCTGATAAAGCATGTGCCATTATATAATTGTCCATCCTAATTAGTATGATTATATAATGGTTCATCCTAATTAGTATATTCATATGTAACACTCTATATGTTAATAAACCATTACACAGAAAATAACACTCTATATGCATGTTAATGAACCATTACACATACAAAAAATAACAATTTTAATTCGCCAATTATATAATACAGTGAATTTAGTCAGTTTATTGTGATAATTCACCTTGACGGTCAAACTAGTCATGCAGATTTAAATTTTCATATACTGCGAATGATAAATATATTGAAGTACGGTACATACTGTATAGTGTATTAGCAGAAGTCTGAGTTTTACAACTGTATATTAAAAAAAGTTAAAAGTTCTGGCGACGAACTCGAAACTTAGTTTTAGGGAAGGCGGTATATTTCCCCTTGCCCGCTTTTGACGCCCTCTACTACCTGCATGCTGAGACGCAGGTGAAAAAATATCCAAGTATATTAATACGTATTCTTGGAATATTTCCTATCGTTTATAGGAGGAAAGTATCCTGTTGTTGTCGAGTTTGCTCCATTTCAAGGGGTGCCGAAAAAGACTAGAAGACGAAAGGACATCAAATCTGCAACAATTGAGAAAGGTATACTGAAGTGCAGATATATACATACAGATCAGTGTCTATCTTGATGGGTTTGTGTTACTCGGGTCATACGATGTTGTACTTTTAAGCAGAGTTGCAAAAGCTGTTCAACCTTCCTCCAGTTAAAATTTCGGGTTTTAAAACCTTCCTCAAAATAATGTGAATTATAATATATGCATGGATTTTTCAATTTGCAAAATATATGGGTTATGTAATTTAAAATCGGCTTCTTGTTCCTTTTTCCTACTGACTCGTAGCCTATTTAGCATTGATTAGCTGGTTAATTGCATTGTGTTTACATGCACATAAATTGTACAGGCTTATGAGGCTGGTAGCAGATGCATGTATATGTTACGATTGCTACAAAAATGCGGTCCCCAGAAAGTATAGGTCTTCCATGGCCTCACATATGGTAAATCTTCCTCACGGGTGGTACCCGCATACAACTCTGCTTTTAAGAACATAAAGGGAATAAACTTACAACAAAACTTTACTCTCCAAAGCGGACAATTCATCCCTTTGCGCAATTGATGATTCCCCTTGTTACGTTTTCGTAGCGCTTTGCATTGTGGTTATAGTGGTATCACTGATATTCAACATGGCTTATTTTTTGTCCTGACCCGTGCAAGAACTTTAAAAAAAAGCTAGGGTCAGGTGCGCGATAGCTAACAGCAAAGTATTCACGAAAACATTCAATATTTTCATTCGAGGACGCTATATTTATCAGTGATACCACTATAACCACAATGCAAAGCGCTACGAAAACGTAATAAGGGGAATCATCAATTGATATCGATGAAAACTGGATATACTGTAGTCTATCATCCTGGATGGCGAAAAGTTATCTCAGTGTATTACAGCACAACAAGATTATAATAATTTTAGCCGAAATATTGAATTTTCAGCAATTGTTTGACACTGAATTACATTTTGCCGCTGTACTACAATCTATTGCTCTCAGCAAATCACTGTTCAGAATATTTTCAATATTATTTTTGCATGGCAAAATATCCAAACTCGATTTGCAAAGAGCGGTGCAATTAATTTATTTTGTGGATTTTTAAGATATAATTGTTATTCTCGTGAATGCTTCAACGTCCTCAGATTGAAATCGTGCTTCGGAATGCACATATCTGTACTTTTGGGAAAACGTACTCGAAAACTTAAACCGTGCTCATATCTATATAAGTAGTATATCAGTGTGGTGTGTTTCTAGACGCTGACTATTTATCTTTCTTGGAAACGTTAAAACAAGAAGTAGAACCTCTTCCCAGCGCTGAAGTCTACTTGGAACAGCAGGAAGCAAACAAGCAAAGTATGAAAGGTACCTGAATGAAACGAAAATTTATACAGTTCAGACCTTACCGTGAGTGATTAGAAAAATGGAACTTTGGGCCATCCTGTGGGAATCGAATCTGTGGCCCTGCGACGCCGATGCAGCGCTCTGACCACTGAGCTACAAGAGTGCAGTTGCCGAGCATTAACCACAGGGGTGGAAAAATAGGCGAGCACGCGAGCACTGCTCGCAGAAAATGTTAAACAGCTGCAGGAAATTCGTTTGAATGAAGATTTGCTTTTGAAAATTTGATAGCCCGCGTGCAGGCCCAAGGGAGCAGGCTGAAGGGAACTTGATAGTGGGCCTGCAAGCAAGGCCCGGTATTTTGTACTTTCCGCGTTCGCCCACGAACGCGGCATTCTGATTGGCTGTTTGCTGTTGGATTCTATAATTAGGTCAGTGATTCATCACAAAGGCATAGACAAAGGCTCTCGATAAGCTTAAAATTCGAAAATTGATCACTTTTTTCGATTACAAATGGAACAAGAACAGACTGTTTATTGTTTACTTGAAGGAAGAGATGTTTTTGCCGTTATGCCAATGAGGATTGCTTGTCGTGAGGTGTTGGAATAGCAACTTTTAATACGAATGGGGTATAAAACTATAGTAACCTTTACTTGAGTTTCATTAATTTCAAACAGACTTGATACGTTATATGTTCCTCAAGAAAATTATCTTTTGGTTGATGTTGAGATGCAGTTGCATGTAAGCCTATTCAAAATACTTTGCGATTTACAAGGCTTCGCTGAGAGAGCAAAAGAGAAGACGGTATTAAATTGCCGTTTGAAACGAAACGATCTGGACTCTGAACGCTCTCTTCTTTTGTAGAGTTCTCACCAAATGAAATAACTGAAATAAATTTCGTACTTTCCGCCGCCAACAAGAATTGCACACACGATCTGATAAGTGAGACAATTTATTTATAACAATGGCGACAGCGAAACAACATTATAAATGCTGATGTGGTCGCACGACTTCCCTCACGATTTGAAGTTTGAGACTGGTTTTCTGTTGAAATTCGTCTTAATTTGCCTGTTCCGATTTTAGTTGAAAATGAGCACTTGTAAATTTGGCAATTACTGACTGCGTTGCTTGTTTTTTTGGAGTTTTAACACAGGCATTTACACATTGTTTCTATTTTGAATATTAAAGCAGAGAAAACCCCGCAACATTTTAATGCGAGTTTGTTTGTTAATATTTGGGTTGCTGTCATTGGTTCTTTTTTGACTATTGACGCGCGAATGGGTCGTGTTATGAAAAGGGGCGTTTTACAAAATACCGGGCCTTGCTTGCAGGCCCACTATCAGTTCCCTTGGGCCTGCACGCGGGCTAAAAATTTGAAGGAAACCTTAACACCCATGTCCCACTATGGGCGCAACAACATACAGTATGCTTGACAGACATTATTCCTTGAATATAAAACCCAGTATTATTATTATAAACCGTCCATGGTCAGCTAGAACACTATATGTTTATGCACATGCAGATTTAGCACAAAAATGCTCCGTTGGTCTGCAGGAAATTTTTGTCTGCCCTGATTAACCACAAGTTATTGCAGTATAGCGATATAGTTCTGTAGAGTCAAATTTTAAAGTTTTACAGAATTTTTCCCACCGTGGCCAGGCATATTTTTCAAGCTTGCCCGGTGTGGATATACACTCAGAATAACATCACAAACATCATTGGTCAGATAGTTTATTGTACTACAAGAAAATGTTTTCTCAAATAACAAATAGGGGTAACCATGCATGCGGTTTTTTAAGTAAAGTGCGTTAAAAGCCAAAATATCGGCCATTTTGAATCGTCATTGTTGCCACGACGTCAATTTTGTGACCATTTTTAATTCTTAGACTGTTGCTTTATAAAAGTTGTACAATTTTTTTATTTCAGACAAGTAACATTCCTTAAAAAAGTTTGATCTAATTTAGGGAGCCACCTTAAGCTACGTTTACACGCTGCGATTTGTCGTGTACGATTCGTAACGGTTGGCGTATGAAAATTACTGCTGACGCTGTAATTCTGCTACATTTACACGCGTAAAAATTCAGAAAATCAACAACTTGTTCCAGGTTGATATCAACAGGCGTGAACAAAGTTGTGCGGCCCACTATGAACAGTATTGTCAACATGTTGTTACAGCATTGTTCAACTGTAACAACTTGGAACAACATGGTTGACAACTTGTTCATAGTTGGCCGCACAACATTGTTCACGCCTGTCGATATCAACTTGGAACAACCTGTGCGTTTTTAGCCGTGTAGTTTACGGTGAAATTTGAAATGCAACCACTTACGTGTACTTCTTCGATTACACACGCCAGAATACGAATCGTATACACGACAAGTCGCAGCGTGCAAACGTACCTTTAATTGCATGTGTAAAGTGCCAAAATTCTGTTTTAAAATTGATCTGCATGCATGTACCAGAAATATGTTCAACATACCAGTGGCGGACACTAGGGGGGGGCCAGGGGGGCGACAAATCACACTCAAATAACGTAATTGTCACATTAAATAATAACTATTTGATAAAACTTAAGCTAAAAAGTAAGCAATATACCAAACAATATAATAATATATGTTTCTGTACTGTACATGTCACAACATACGCATTTTATACATTCTTTTTGACGAACACTACTTTCTGCAACATGCACTTCTTTAAATGACATTGTCGATTTTTAGTTGTTTTTGAAACTTATACTATTGTTTAGCGGCGAAATTTCCTGCTGCACGATAATATTTGAATGCGTATTAAACTATTAAAAACAATGGATAATTCAATTAACAGTCCAATTTGTGGTTTTTTATGTTAACGAAACAAGCGTGCACAGCGAATGAATTTCACTCACTTAGCGAATAAATTTTTACATTGTCATTGGCGTGTTGATTAAATAAAACCTTGCAATTCCATTCACAAATGTAAATAATCATGTAAATATTTTCTCTGAAATGTTGATTTTCAGTATGCTTAGCATGTGATTTATAACAAAATGCACCATTAAAACAGTGTTTTGATAACCTAGTTTTTTTACAAAATGTGTTCTCAGAATGCTGCAAATGCCATTTCCGGGATCCAAATTTTATAAACATTTTCCGGAGAGCATGCCCCCGACCCCCAGTATTTCATAAAGTATCCGCCACTGGAACATACATTGACTGAAACTCCCCTCCCCTGGAATGTTAAGTTCGAAAAATTCATTAGTAAAAATCTAACGTTTAATATTTGGTTATGTGGCACTTTTCGGAAACTATAGGAAACTTTGTTACTTGGTGTATTTATCAGTTATTTTGTGTGCCTGCATGTTAAACAGTACATGTACGTAATATACAGTGCATGACATCTATGTTTAGATGCAAAACTAACAACACCTCTGATCGAGTTCTTGAAAATGAAAAGGTCAAGTGGAAAATCTTCGAGGATTTCTTCGCATGTAAGTGTACAGGATATTCCGTACGCCCAATGTATTTCGTAGTTCAGTCCCCAAAGCCTTTGTTAATAACACCTTCGCTTGTCTGTGACAAACATTTATCAGCGAAAACTTTGAATTTCAGTTTATGGTCTAACTCTTTGTTTTAATTTAATTTACATAGCGTAATTCAACATCGTCGTCAAATGAAAAGAAAAAGAAAGCATCAAAAGAAGCTGCAAAGGTATTTTTAGTGCATGAGAGTATCCTGGCCCATGTCCAAGACAGGTTTGCACAGTCACAGTATACTGAAATGATTTGGTTATACAACCTACCAGCCGTACGCGACACGACTAGTCGAATATGTTTCTTATCTTCAAGCATGCATCATGTGATCAAACAAGTACATGTATACAGTATGACCATTTGGTGTGCATGTAATTTTGGAAATAGCGTAACGCCCCTTAGGGTGTGATAAATGAAGATTTTAGTTGTACCTGTCTGGTTCTCCAATGAATTTCAGTTAAAATAAATAGACAGGTTTCTGAAAGTTATCCATTCAGTGACCTAAAACTACGAGTTAAAACGAGGAACACAACTGCATACAGCCATTTCAATTAAGGTTGTCCCCGAGCAAAGCGGAAAAAGTCGAATGCGAGCGCGAAAGGATTGCTGGGAATCGCTAAAAAATCCGTCAAATCCGCAAAAACCCGTCCAATAGGGATAGCTGAGATGAAACGTGCAGCCACGATAAATAATATATATATTTCATGAAGTTGAGACAAAAGATTTGTGCACGGTGAGGTATAGTTCAACATCAAACAAATGTCTTCTATTTTGTGGCTTTGAAGTTTGCCGGGATTCCAGGCCATCGTATCTTAATAGACTATGCAGTCAGGTATACGACTAAACATCGTGAATTTCGCACCCTGCTGCAAAATCAAAAAAGGATTTCACGTTGCACAAGCACTATCTTTTATACATTTAATATATTTAATATATTTAATAATTATAAGTGAATGAATTCATGTTACTTTGTAGACTGGTTACAAGAACACGTTTCCTGAAAAGAGCACCGGATCTAACGGCAGTTCAAGAAAGGGCAGGTATGAGTCATGATCGAAGTTTTCGCTATATATTTATCGTTATATATAAACGCTTGTCATGCAGATATCGCTATCACTTCAGATATCAGTTATTCAGATAAATGATCGATTTAGGCAAAGGTGTTGTTTGAAAGATAGTACCTAAAAATGAATCATAATACGATCAATTAATTAATGCTTAGATAAAGAAATAGTTTTGTTGCTCACGTGATCAATGTACTAGTAAGTTTTGTCACGCGTAACCCAGCAACTGAAACGGCATATTGTAATTCTTTTCCGATTGCAAAAACGTTCAATTGAAAGGTTTTTCAACTAAAAAATCATCTAACGCGAAATACATGTCACAAACGTTGCAATTTCGTGGATAATTTAGCTCGTTGAATAGAGTATATGTATACTGTATATTAATAGTTTAATACTCAATGGTATACTGTAGAAAAGTCACCAAGTCTACTGTCAGTGTGTGAGACAGAGCTGATTTGAAGCTCCTGCGCTTCATGAAGTTCATTTAACCAGTCAAAATGTAATACTAACATGCAATAGAGCTAAGAAGGACCACCTCTTTAACTCCTTTTTAATTCGAACGATATGGACATTACTAGATATTTAACAGTCTAACGCCATGTGATTTTCTAACGCCATGAAACAATTTACATGGCAGTGTTCATACGCTTCATTGCAAAACTAACTGTTTAATTACATTTAGTGAAAGAAAAACAGATTCGAGAAAATTTGCCAAAGATGATAGCGAGAAAAAACAAACAACTACCGCCCATGGGAGTGAGAAGAAAAATGGAAAATCGCGCGAATACAAGATGAAAGGACAAAGCGACGAGAAGGGAAAATCAATGACAAAGGTATTTAACGTTGATCTCAATAATACTTGTAGGCCGTGGGCTGTTGGCCAAAATTATTTCGCTTCGTGGCACCCATGTGGGAAATACTTGGTTTGGGGTTTATTTGAAAGGCATATAGGTACATTACTACCAAAAAAAGTTCCCAAGCAAAAAGTTGCCCAATACCGAGAAAATGGGTTATGGGTGATTAATGATTATCCTCTATTAAATTGTATTACAGTAAAAAATGGGAAATTTTATAATTCAAGTACAATAAAAATGACTTGCATCATCGAAAAACGTACATAAGACTTTTAAACAGTTTTTTGATTTTTCAAATAGTCTTTAAGTTATTGCTCTTTTAAATGTGAAAATTGTACCAAAATGTCGCAATAAGGACTGGGTACTAGGTCAAAAACGCGTTTTTGATAGCGTATAACTCGAAAACAATTTTAGATATAAAAAAACTGTTTAAATGTCTTATATGTAGGTTTTTGTAAGCTTTCTGATGATGCAAGTCATTTTTGTTGTAATTGAATACAAAATTTCACATTTTCTTGCTGTAATACAATTTAATAGAGGATAATCACTGATCACCCATTTTCTCGGTGTTGGGCAAGATTTTTGCTTGGGAACTTTTTGTGGTAATTAAGCATCTATGGTTCTATGAATTGAACCACAGAAAATCTATTTCCCAGGGGGGTGCCACGAAATTGCTTTTCTAGGCACTTTTTCGTACAACAGCCCACGGCCTATTGGTATTATGCTTAGCCTTACCAATAAATACATTCAAACTCTTATTGATATGCCAAAATTTAATTGACATTGTTGTAAAGTTAATGCGTAATGTGAAGCTAACTGAATTAGCCTTTCTCACGCCACCATTTTTTGGTGGCTTTTCAGCCGACGTCTGCGAGATAAGTCCACATAACAGCGACTTTTTATAATTTTTTGGACGAATGATGGTAAATTTGCTTTGTAAATGGTTAGTTTATTTTGAAAAATTGCTTTTCACATTGTTTTAATTGTCTGCATTGGTTAACGAGAATTATAGATGCCACACAAAAATGGCGGATATTCGTCATCGTGAGAAATGCTAATTATACATACATATATTATTTAGCTCACTCCCCAACCGCTTTTCAGTGACCGAATACATCGTATTACGATTACTTGTATTACCTGCATAGCCTGGACTAATTAAGGTTGTCCTTTGATGGTCAACACCACAAAACCTTAACCTCTGTGTGAAATGCGTCTCTGAGTAGTGAGTATTGTATCATCCTGGTATTGCCACATGTTCTCATTTTTTCTTGGTTTTGTGGTATTAGGCCTATATATGAATTTCAAACGACAAATTAGTTTTAGTTGAATAACCTGTATTTGATTGTTCCTCAATTACCTGGCCTGAATACAGCTGCTATGGCGCTCACTTGGACTAACCAATTTGTGTAGTGGAACCGCCGTGGGCCAAGCGACCGTGATGGAAAACGGCCTTTATCTTCTATTTTTTGTTGTTGCAGGATAAACCATTATCGGCGAAGACGTGGAAAGAAAACAAGTCACAGGACGAAAATCACAGGTATATTGTTTGTTTTATATGCAGGAAGCGTAATGCTATGCGTGTTCTTTGCTTTCCTTTTCTCAAAGTGACCCCTACTGTACATAGGCCGGCTTTCATTTGCTACTTACTTTCAAGTACATATATACTAGGAAGTGAACAAATGAACTTGCGAGTTAGGGAGATTGTTAACATTATATCCATCTCTCTTGAACTTTTTGTGAATGTTTTCGACTTTTCGTTCTTGTTGTAGGTCAAGTTCCAATGCATCCCGGCCATCTTCATCTTATCGTCAACCTAGGAGAGATAAAGGTACAGTAGATGCAGCTGTATAGAATAGGAGTGGGGTAGAAATTAGAAGTGAACCAAAACACACGTCTAATATCGATTAAAAAACAGTAGACCTTTCTGGATCCCAGTGTGCAACTCGTTTCATCTTTGTAAACGATTAATGAATTAAAACATCGTTAATGACTATCTGAAGTACTAGGCAATCATAGCTGTCCACGCATGTCAACTCTCGTCATGTGGTTCCAAACGTTTATTATACAAGCGCTAGATCTGAGTATATTGATTGCCTGGCATATGAATCGCTGTTATATATAGCTACAGTACCTCTTCTACTTCTGCTGTTATATGTACAACATGCACTCTTCCTTGAAAAATATTGGATTTGGTTACAGTATACAGTTCTTTCGAAAGCAATTATTGTGAACTGCATGCACAAGAACAATGAGCGAAATCTTATTATTGGTTGGCGAAACACTTTTTCAAGTTAGGATGTATTTTTCATGATCAGTATATAGTGTAACTGTGGCATTATGCTGCAGTAACCTAATTTTTGTTTAGTTGTTGCTTTTTTCCTTTTCTTTTGTCGTTGCATTGAAGACAAATTAATGACACTAATTAGGAAAGATAGGGCATTAAATAATGGAGTTCGAGGTCGAGGAGAAGGTGTTGCAGTGTTTGTTGATAATAATATTCATGTTAAACATCGAATGGACATCTCAACATCACCCTTTGAATGTCTTTGGGTGATACTTCGGCCCCAGTCTCGAGAATTGCAGTAGCAGTCGTTTACTTACCACCTTCTATGTCCTCCGAGATCTTGATCGTTTTTATGACTACTTCTATGACTGCTATGATAAATTGATATCTGAAAGCTCTGACACGTCCTTTATTAGTAGCCGGCGATTTTAATCCTACAAGTAATGGTTTCCAGATAAAATCCATCTCAAACATGTGCCATCTTAAGCAAGTTGTCAAAAACCCAACCAGAGGTACGAATATGTTAGACCTTATTTTTACCAACCGTGGTGATTTTTTTAAGCCGCCGGAAATCCTCGCTCCAATCGCCAGCTCGGATCATGCGACCATTGTTTGGAACGATGTTAATGATAAAGTTAACGCGTTTTTAGAATTTACGCAAGTTTCAATTGACTCCTTTTTTCCAATTAAAACATTTAAATTACACGAAGATGATAAACCATTTATAACTGGAAGATTAAAAAAGCTAATGGCAAAGCGTAACAAAGCTCATAAGTCGGGTAACTTTGAGCTCTTTAAACGTCTTAGAAATCAAATTGTTGCGGAGGTTCGATCTACAAAACTTTTACCACAACCATGTTCGTCCCACCTTTTGTAAAAATCCTCATTTTTGGTGGAAGAATGTAAATAAAATTGTTGGGAAAAAGGAACAGTCTATTACACTGTTTGATTCGCAAACAGAACATCCTATGGACGAGAAACAAGCTGCGGAACATATAAATGAATTTTTCGCAAGCCTAACTGAGGATTTTATCGAAGTGCAGGATAAGTGGTTAGACGGCGGTTCCTCCGATCCTTTGCCAGTTTGTTAGTGAAGAAAGTGTAGAAAAGAAGTTAAAAGGACTTGGTGTTAGGAAGGCAAGCGGACCGTACGATCCCAATATTAAAGTGCTGAAGATGTTTGCCAAGAATTTTGCTATTCCGTTAACAAACATTTTCAATGAATCGTTCAGGTCACGAATATTCCCAAAAATATGGAAACGTTATAACGTTTGCGCAATTCCAAAGGATACACCATGCTCCGCTGTAGAGGACTTGAGACCAATTTCGCTTACCAGCGTCTTGTCTCAGGGTGCGATAATTCAATACTTTTAGCTGTACCTGACTGGTACTCCGACAACTTTTGCCGCGTACCTGGTCTGGTACAAACTTAAGAGTCAAGACGTACCTAAGACTACTCCCGAGTCATGCGTTTTTATACCTACGTATAGTTTACTGGTCCAAAAGCAAAAAATGTATGGGCAATTTTGTACAAATGAATCTTTAATTATGGTATTTGTACAACATAATATAACAGTTTTCAAAACGTCGACGTTGTGACTCGACGTTGTGACTCATTTACAGTGGATTTACCGAGGGTGCTAACAGTCTGACCTCCGCTACATACAGTGTAGTTTTCCTCATTGGGCCTAAAAAATACCTGTGGCTGTGGTTCCGGTTTCATATCGCGAAAAAATGTACAGCTAAAGTTCTTCGCGGTTTTGAATACTTTGGAAGGTCTGCTAGTTATTGCTAGAAGGAAAATGTAAGTACGCGAATAGCAAATTTCTGCGTACCTACGTGGTACTTGCCTAAAAACAAAGAAGTACCAGACCATAAATTTGGCGTACCTCCGGTACGTTGGTACGCGAATTATCGCACCCTGAACTTGTCTAAGATACAGGAGTCATACGCTATAGAATGGATCAATCAGGATGTAGGTGCGAATGTCAATGAATCCCAATATGGCGGGTTACCGGATCATCTACTGTGGTATTTGGTAATACGGATTATATTTCTTGATTTTAGAAAAGCTTATGACTTGGTAGATCACAATAAGCTATTGGAAAATTGTGAGAAAATTGGGATCAGGCCAGCTCTTATTTCTTGGCTAGGATCACAAGTCACTAAATTCCGCAATGAATTCTCGCAGGAGGCTCGAGTCAAAGGAAGTGAAATTGGACCCATTGCATTTATTATCCACATCAATGATCTTCCACTCATAATCTCCCCAGTTAACCCAGAGGATGAAGATATTTCATTGTTCATGGACGATACAACTCTGTCGGAAGTCATTGACATCACCCAACACGTGTCCAACTGCCCGATCGGGAACTCTCAACGAAACGTGGATAACATATTGCAATTTACGAGAAATCAAAATATGGAACTCAATAGTAAAAAGTGTAAAGAGAGATGCTGGTACAGACTTCAGGAAGGTTAAAACTATAATCCCGTCATTTGCTATTGGCGGGGATATCTTCACAAGAGTAAAATCATTTAAGTTGCTGGGTGTTTGGATAGACGACGATTTAAAATGGAATACTAATACAGCCTATATTGTAAAGAAAGCAGTCAAACGATTATATCTCTTAAAGGTGCTTAAAAGCTATAATGCTCCCATGGAAGATCTAAAAGCCTTCTATACGGGTGTAATAAGGTCGGTTCTAGAATATGGAGCTCAAATCTGGAATGGCAATCTCACAGTTAAACAGAGTAATGACATTGAGAGATTACAAAAGCGGGCGCTAAGAATAATCCTCCCTGGTATGAGCTACGATCATGCATTACGTCAGTCCAATTTGAAAACCCCAAAAAGAACGTAGAGATGTTATGTGTGTGTTGACATGATTAAGAAAATGTCAAACCCCGGTCATAAACTTCACCATCTTCTCCCAATGAAGGTTTGTCAATTAAGAGAGAGGGAAACGAGGACAAACGGCTTAGAATATAATAATTATGCGTTCAGAACTAAACGATTTAGTCAGAGTCAGTCCTATCATTTATATGTAATAAATAAGTACAATTTAACTCTTCATAACTCTTAGCTTAACTCTTAGTTTCGAAAATCTTACCTATGTTGCATGGGTTTTTTTATAGTATAAGATAATATAATAAATAGTTCTTATTTCATTCTCATTAAAAACTCTATTTGTAGCACATTGTAATTTAGCTTAGCTATTTAATGTGTAAATTTCTATTACATTACATTATATATCTTTCAAATTACAAAAGATCACATTTCAGTTTTGGCAGAACTCGCACAATAATAAAGAAATGTTTACAAATGATGTGACGTCATCTTAATATCTATTCCAAACTTGGCTGTAGGCATGAAAGATGCTGACAGGACTAGATCAGAATCACGGCCATCAACCGCTAGTGGATCATCCAGCGAGAAAAATGAAGAACGAAAACCACAGAAACAACAACCAGATAATAAAGAGAGGGTTCGAAATAAGGTTAAGTAAAAAGACACGACTAAATTATAATAAAATAAGCGCTGTGATGGATCAATATAAGCATGAGTTAAAACTATAGATACAGCGGAGTATAATATGCGTGATTAAGATGCGTAATTACACACTGATAACCTAGTTTGTCCATTATTATATCCAGGAAGAAGTCTTTCCATGCTCCTGTCTCAATTTTTTCAAGTAAATTGTGAACATAGGCTATACAGTTAAGAATGACCCATTTCTGCATTGCCTGCAGGTTTTATAAGAAAATTCGAGCTCTGTTATTCTCAAGTTATATAACGTATATAAGGGTTTGCTCGCATGGTAAATTTTTTTTCCTTAAAAGTGTTTTTCTTTTTAGCTGACTTAGCTTGCCTGTTGGCTAATACTGTTTCCTTTACAAACACGTATAAATGTTACTCGGCTGTGATTGGTTGATTTCAGTAGAGTGAGTTTAGTTTCTCAGAGACTTGAAATAGCAAATGTGATTTTTCAAAAACCTATATTCATGCATATTTTATCCAAATTGCACTCGAAAGTATCATATATTATTATACAATATATACTAATAATATCCATAAAAAAATTACTTGATTCTGATTGGCTAAGAAAAGTGCAATTTTATCGAAATAGAGTGTCAAAACAGACTTACATGAGTGCCATTTTGCATCTGTTTCATGCATGCAAGTGACTATCAATAGACCTTTCCCCTCATGAGTGAAATTTTTATCTAGATATGCCTGGACAAAAATCTCATCACAGCTTGAAAGAGCATCACAAAATTAGTAATATTCCAAAGTTTCGTTGCGAAATGTTGTAAAATGCGGATAATATAGCCTTGCGAAGTTTGCCGTTTTTCAGTCATTTTGCATTACAAACGGGAAATTGATAATCAGTTTGATCATCTGATTATCAATTTCCCGTTTGTAATGCGAAATGACTGAAAAACGGCAAACTTCGCAAGGCTATATTATCCGCATTTTACAACATTTCGCAACGACACTTCAGAATATTACTAATTTTTTGATGCTCTTTCAAGCTGTGATGAAATTTTTGTCCAGACTTGTCTAGATCAAAATTTCACTCAAAAGGGAAAAGGTCTATTGCTTCATCTATATTATATATATTAAGTAATGGTATGGTTTTTTGTCCAATTTGGAAAAACAAATACTCGTGAGTTTTCAGAGACATCAAATTCCACTCGTCCTTTGGTCTCGTGCAATTTTGATCGTCATGCACTCGTGCATATTTTTTTCGAAATTGCACTCGAAACCATACTATTACCTACATAAACAATGCATTGGTGTTTTCGAAAGTAAAACAACCAGAACATGTAATCGAATGAGCACAAAATGAGTATTTTGTGTGTTCATCTCTCTACAGGATCGACCAGCTCAAGCCATCTATCAACCTCGTTCACGACCGCGTGCCAATGCTGAGGAAACCACAGGAAGAAATTCAGGTACAGTATGTTTAAAATTAAAGCTGTTCTGAGTGGTTATATTACTACCTTAAAAAACAAGCAGAAACTCGACGTTTCGAGCGAAGGCCCTTCGTCAAGAGTTCATAGATTGTATCGAGGCGCCAAGATGGCTGCCATGTTTTTAAGTCTCTTAGTTTTAATGTCTTATGGTAGCAATTATACGATAGTTTTAAACACAAAGTATAATGATGAATCTGTCTTTAGTGATGTTATTCAAAGTGACTACAAAGAGATCTACTTTCGTAGTCAGAATATTCGATTAGCTCGAACTTCACTTCAAAATGCTCGAGTCCGTTCGGCAATTGTGAAATGGAATAAGCGTGGTTTGACGATGCTGGCAGCACCAGAAAGCAAGATACTGCTGCATATTACCATACAAATTACTATACATGGCGATATAGAGTTGAATCCCGGTCCTGGATTAATACCAGATAATCAAATTGTACAACAATCTCGTAGAAATTCTCGCTCTGGTGGAATCACCGCATTGAGTCGTGATATTTTGTTATCGTATCGAAAGTTCGGAAGTAAACCTACACCAAAAGTAATGGCTATGTGTAAAGCTTTAAACATTTTTAAATACAGAAGCAAGCGAGGAGGTCGAAGGTGTATAAAGTTAACGGAAACGTACCATAACGAACGCAATACAATTAAAGTTGTTGTGGGTAATCGACCATGCGGCACTTGGTCGCGGATACAAAAACAACGAAGTGTAAATCTCGTACAAATACCTCGTGAGCCATTGTTAAGGCAAGTCAGAAATACAGCATTTGCTGTTCCTAAGGTAATGCTTATTAATATTTGCTCCTTAAACAAAACCAAGAACAGGGTCAGAGCGGTCTCAGCCTTGGAGGCAGACATGAAAACTCTAGATATTGATATTTGTGTAGTGTCTGAAACACATCTAAAACCAAATATTCCTGATACAATTGTGAATATTCACGACTACTCAATTTATAGGAGGGATAGAAACTGGGCTAATAACGATTCGAGATGTAAGGGAGGAGTGGCTGTTTACATAAGAAATAATATTACTGTGACCGATGTTTACAGGTCGAATTTATATGAGCTAATTTGCATAACCTTGACACTTCCCTCTGGACATCATATGTTAGTTTGTGGTCTATATCACCCACCAAAGTTTAGTTATAAGGAGCAAGAACTGAGAGATTACCTAATCCATTTTGTTGACGAAAGGTTGGACAGGTATCCAGATACTGTGTTTCTATTCGGTGGTGATTTAAATCATTTGGACTTAGAGCAGCTACAGATAGAAGTAGGCTGGGATATTTTAGTAAACTTTCCAACTAGAGGTGATGCGACCTTGGACAATTGTCTAACAAATCGTCCTGATTTATTTGGTGAGAGTTTCCCTTTCCAAACTTCTATTAAGACTGATCATATTGCTGTTGTCCTCCCTGCTGGAACAAAGTTAAAACCAATTCGAAGGAAAGTTCAAATACGTGATTGCAGAAAACACCGTAAAGCTGCTCTCTACAACTCAATGGCAACTGAAACATGGGATAATGTTATAGACTCCAGTGATGTTCAGCAGGCGGTACTTTTCTTAGAATGTAAGATCCTTAGTCATATGGATAACTGTATGCCGATTAGGACAATATCAATGTCGTCACGTGACCCCGTGTGGATGACCCCGCTATTAAAGTCGATGATTAGAGCAAAGTCAAGGATATCCGAGCTGAACAAGGACAGGTTAAAGGAAATTAACAAACGAATATCAGAAGTCATATCGGAGAATAGGAGGAAATGCAAGACCACCCCATTAGGAAGTAAGGCATGGTGGAAAATGACTGATGCCCTGAGTCAACGTAAAAAACAAGATAGAGCGATTCTAGATAACACTAGATTGTCAGATCTAAATGATTACTTTGCTAAGTTATGCTCTGATGACACATATGTTGAACCAACACCATTGCGAATTGAAAGTGAAGTCGAAACACCAAGAGTTAGTGAATTGCAAGTATGGAATATCCTTAAAGCTCTTACGAAAACTGCAACAGGACCAGATCAAATTCCATACTGGATCTGGAAAGAACACAAAGAGATATTAACCCCAGTAATCACAAGAGTGTGGAATCTATCATTATCTACCCAAAGCTGGCCTTCGGCATGGAAGCGATCAAATGTAAATCCCCTTGCAAAAGTAGAAATGCCGAATGAAAATCAGGATTATCGGGGCATTAGTATAACGCCGGTGATAGCTAGGGCATTCGAGAGAATTGTATATGACACCCATGTTCGTGATGTTGTGGAGAATAATCTAAGCCGCACGCAGTTTGCATATAGGGCCGGTGGAAACTGTACTTGCGCCCTTTTAGCCATGCAACATAGGATAAACAGTTATATGGACGATCCAGACTGTAGAGCAGTCCGACTGTTCACCATGGACTTTAGTAAGGCCTTCGATTCAGTTAAGCACGATCTACTTGCAAGTAAATTAAAAGCTTTCCCACTTAACCCGTATATTATTAACTGGTACCTCAGTTTCTTGAAGGACAGAAAACAAAGAATATGCTACAATGGATATGAGGGTGAATGGAAATGTGTCAATAGAGGCACCACTCAAGGGAGTGTCAGTGGGCCACATCTTTTTAACATTTTCCTGAATGATTTAAACTTAGAATTGGACGGTCTTGATATATTGTTCAAGTATGCGGATGACTCCAATATTGTGGCTCCAGTTTGGAAAGAGCGAGATTGTGCTGATTTGTTGGTGTCACAGTTTTTGGATTGGACATCTAGAAATAAGATGATATGTAATCCAGGAAAGTGTAAAGAGATGACCATCTACAAGCAAGGTAACCAAGAATATTTCTCACCAATAGCAATGATTCCAATGTGTAAAGCAGTGAAAGTGATGGGAGTTACATTCCAGTGTGATGGCAAATTTGGCGAACATGTTAAAAACAAATTAATCAAGGCAAATAAGTGTCTTTATATCTTACGATCATTGCGAAAGGAAGGTTATTCACAACAAGAGATAGATCTATTGTTTGATACTCTGGTATTACCAAACATAACATACGCATTATCTGTTTATGCCGCTTCCAAATCCGATTTAACTCCTATTGAAGTCTTTCTTAAACGTTGCTATAAAAGGAAATATACGTCAAAGCCAGTTAGTGTGTATAAGCTATTAGAAAAACAAGATCGAACCATATTTAATAGAGTATCTAAACTCTGGCAGCATCCATTATTGTCACTAATGCCACACGCTAAAGAAACAGGCTACAACTTAAGAAAAAGAAGAAGTCATAGGCCGAAAGTTAGAACGGAACGTTTTAAAAACGTGTTTGTAAACCGTTTGGTATACAATTATGACTTAGTTATTGATTAAACATTGCAAGTTATCTCTATAGCAAGACACACAGTATGAACGAATGAGTAATGTATATAGTATGAACTACAATATGATTAAACATTGTAAGTTTCTTTTTAGCAAAGTGTAAATAATGCATATACTGTAATATGAATTGTAACTTAAGATATGTATTTTTATCTTCTGTTTCATTAAAGACTAATAATAATAATAATTATAAACGTACACGAGTTTATTGCTCATACACCAGGGCAGACTGAAGTGTGACCGTGGACTTCTCGACTAGTTTATTCTTACAGATATTTCAAATTTCGCTCGGTATTCCTTTAAATATTACAGTTAGCTTTAGGGAATTGATATATATCGGCTTCGCTAGGGCTGATTTGATTTCGAATGTATGTTGTTTTCTCAGATTCGAGTTCCTTGTGTCAGTTGTATATTAACTGAAACGCATCTGCTGCATTTGTCATGGCTCAATCTATTACTTCTTTAATATTTACTAACAAATGTAATTTGCATACACTGTTGCTTCGTATGTATTAAATTATTGGGTTCTCGAGCTCCTCTCGCCAGGTATTTTTATTTATTCATTGATGAATTTCTGTATGATATGGTGATATGTATATCTTGAAGTGTATTATTTGGTATTTTTAAACTATCGCTAATAATGTTGATTTATTAAAAGGGGGAGATAAGTCCCTTCTACGCATGTGCCCGGCGCTTGTTTATGTTGTAATACATTCCACATGTTATAACATGAAGTATTGGCATTTTACAACAATATTTTATCAAACATGGCGATTGAAATGAGCGAAACTTTATATAGTTCACTTGTTTGTGTGGTGGTGCCTGCTTTATATGAGAAATATAGATACTTTTGACTTGTACAAGTTTGTATAATTTTCCTTTTGAACCGCATAGCGTGATAAACACACCGAATCATGCATGAAGTATGATCAACCGCCGAATATGAATTGCTCAATGCTCGATTGCTATTTACGATTGCTCTTTTGATTTTTTTTTCCCATTGCTAGCAGCAGCCTTGTCTTTGCCATTTGTCATGCTATTGTAAATTATACAATTAACCTGAAAGTTATATTGCTTCCATGCATGAGGACACTTTCTCAAACACCATAAAGGCAGATTGCTATTGGGACAAGTGGTTAATAGCATGAAGATCTCTGAAAAAGGCAAGCCTATAGTCTGACTGCATTCATTAATTTTGAGCCTTTCTATGCATGACAGGATTTAGTGGAAGATGTAAATGTTCAAGACTATCTGTGGAGAAAACACCAAATGATATAGCTAATGGTGAATTCAAACGGGTTGCTGACTGTAATGAGTGCCGCTGAGAGGGGGGCATTTTGGCATGGGACCCCAGATTGATGGGATCCCAGATTAAAGGGACCCCCCCCCCCCCCCCCCCCCCCCCC